CCATGCGGAACGGCCAGCAGGGCTCGTCAGCTACCCGTTAGCCCCAAGCTGCGCCGCCAGGGTTTGCCCGCCCTAGGCCCCTTAGGTCGGCCCGGTTTCCCCTAGGCCTGCCCGACTTGACCCATGCCGAAAAGGCCAAGGTGGACGCGGCTAATGCTGTGTACCGCACGTGTGTCCATGGCCTCTTCGCAGCTTGGAAGCTGCGTGCTCTGCAGGTTACCATTGAGAACCCTTTGCGCGCTTGGACTTGGTCCGCTGGCCACGCTGGTCACAGAATTTGGCCGCGACCATTCATGCCCCAGCTTTGTGGAGTGGTTCTTTGACCTGCAGAATGTGCATTTTTCTATGTGCATGCATGGGGGCCAGCATAAGAAGGACACCCGTCTTCGAGCCACGCCTGGTGTCTTTGACGTGCTCAAGGCAGACTGTGACGGTGCTCACGAGCATTTGCCTTATGGTTATCGCTGGACTGCGGGTGCATGGACTTTTGACACGGCGAGTGAAGCTCAGTACCCTCGCTTGCTCTGCCAGCGTATGGTGAGGGCTGCTTCCGAGGCTGTCTCTCCTGCCTTGCTTCGCGACGCAACCGCGCGCTTCCGGCTGGATTCTCTGGCTGCGGTGGGATCCCAGACTATGAAGCACCCTCCGCTTATTCCCGAGTTCAAGTCCATGGTTTGGAGTCACCGGCCCCCAGCATCCCCGTCAAGGCCTTTGCCGGATGTTTCGCCGGACCAGTGCTCTAGCCCTTCGGGCGCTCCCGGCTGGCCCGTTGCACTACAACCTTGTGATTGTCTTTCCCCCGCCTCTTAACGATGCGGCCGCCGAAACGTTGGCTTGGACCCTCCTGCAACAAGGCCAGGTCTCTCAGGATGAAGCCCTGCAGCTGGTGTCCCTGCTTTCGCAGGCCTCTGGGTCCCGTCGGGCCAAGCAGGATGGGCTAGCGTGGATGTCCGGCGCTTATGTTTTCGGCTCCCAGACGGGGCTTCACTCTGCTACCAGGACCTTCCCGTTTGTTACGGCCCTCTTCGCGCAGACTGTTGTGCACTTCGTGCCGGAGGTTGCCTTCACTTCCATGGCCGTCTTCGCTGACTTCTATGGGCCTGAGCATGTTGATAAGCACAATGACCACTCTTACCTGAACGTGATCATTCCTCTATCGTCCTTTCAGCAAGGTGGTGTGGCTGTGGGAGATCAAGTCCTGCCTGTTGCCAGCGGCCCATGCTTGTTGCAGTCTGCGCTTCCCCACCGTGTCCTGCCCGCGGTGGGTCAACGAGTGACTTTGGT